AGCGGGACCCGCGGGACCCACGGTACTGATTTAAAATTGGCTGTGATGGGCGGTATCGGGAAGATCTGTAAAAATATCGCGGGCGGGATGGGACCAAAATCCTTTCCCGACACTCCCGATAAAACCGCAACCCTCGAAAACTCACAAAAAACGATGTTTGAAAAATGCACTTTTAATGTTTTATTGAGAGGAAAACGAACAGCAAAGCAAAACAAAATAATCGGAAGATGCCAGATCTTTCATTATTATTTTTATTATTTAAAATTAAATTGAAAGACATGAACACTTTTGTTAAACTTCGATCGGTTTGCAAACCACGCCACACACGTTAAAATCTCAACCTATCGTTTAAATTTGTTGTCCGTTTGTAGCCTGTTTTAGAGGTAGATATCGGGACCCACGGGACCCGCGGTAAAATTCTGAAAAACGTCGGGATGGGCGGGTTCGGGACTTAAAAATCCAATTTCGGGATGGGCGGGATCGAGATTAAATATTTAGTCCCGTGCCCATCTCTAGCCTGTAGGGCCGACAGTAGTTCAATGCATGTAATCTCGGTTTCTATTTTTTCGGCTGTTGTTGTGATATTGCAGTTTATTTGTCTTGTTTTATATTTGTNAGATTAAATATTTAGTCCCGTGCCCATCTCTAGCCTGTAGGGCCGACAGTAGTTCAATGCATGTAATGTCGGTTTCTATTTGTTCGGCTGTTGTTGTGATATTGCAGTTTATTTGTCTTGTTTTATATTTGTTATCTGTAAATTCTTGATTAAAAGATGAGTCGTGTGAGATTTGTGACCAGTGTTGTGCGAAAGTATTGGCTATATCAAGTTTTGATGTAGTGTATCGTCCTGTAAGTGTATTTTGTATCCTGTGTATTGATGTGGAATTTATTACGCCACAGAATGTACGGATTTTTGGCCAGATCGTGGATATGGGAGTAGGCAGTTGGGTTTCTGATGTAAATGTAGTTGTGGCTTGCCTTTTGCTTTTTCTTAGTTCTGGACAAAATAAAGCATTTGCTTTTTAAGGTTGATTACATTTGTCTGGATAATGTTATTTTTGAGATTTCGCCAAACGCTTTTTTTAGTTTTTAGTTCTGATAGGAGTTCACTCCACCAGGGAACATTGCGTTTCTGTGGGTTGGGTGCCGTTTGAGGGATGGCTTTGTGAGCACTTTGCAACAGAATTTTATTCAAATTTGCTGCTTCTTTATTAGTGTTGGTGCTAGTTGCGATTTCGTTGGTAATTTTGAATAATTAATAGGCGTTCCAGTCAGCAAGTTTAGTTCTGAATTTGGGTTTTTTTTTGGGATTTTTTAGTGCTTGTGAGAAAAAGGATATATGGATGGGGAAGCGGTCACTTCCGTATAAATCGTCTAGTGTTTTCCAGGAGCTATTGGGTGCTAAATCGGGTGAGCAAATGGTAAGGTCTATGTGTGAGAAAGTATTGTGAGTTGTGAAATGTGTGGGGCAGTTGTCGTTGAGTAAGATTAGGTTGGATTGGTGTAAGAATTATAAAAAAATATTTCCTCTTCGGCTATTTTACGAGGATTCCCATTTCTGGTTCCAGCTGTTGAAATCACCTGTGATGAGTGTATTAGCATATTGGGAACTGTGTAAGATGTTATGGTCATTTAAGGAAAATGGTTTCTTTGGTTAGATGTATACTGAAAAGATTGTTATCTTATTTAGATTCTATTTCTACTGCTGAGACGTCGAATTTGTTGGAGTTAATATTGAGGTTCGAGAATTTTAAAGATCGGTGAATTAAAAGCGTTGTACCTCCGAATCTATTTGTTGGGTTGTTTATACTATGTGATAGTTAACTGGTGTGGGGAAGGATTTAACGTTGTAGAGGTGTGTTTCGCATTCGCGAATGTGAAAAATATGACATTCGAAACATCCCTAATATGTATGTATGTATTATTTACATCAATAACTCTTTATGTATGTACTAAATTTTTATTTATGCAAACCCCAATTTATTTTGGCAATAATAAACTATTACTTAATTCAAGTTTCCACAAATTCATAAAAGTATTTGAAAACTTGTATCAGTGGCGTAGCCAGGAGGGGAGGGGGGTATGGGGGGGATAGATCCCTCCCCCCTTCGTCATTGAACTACAATTATTTACTTTTGAATTAATAACACAATACTATTTTATCCTTCTGATTTAAAATTTTGTTTATTTCAGACGGATGACAAATTATCTTTTAATGAATATATGAGTAGTCCACTTGCAAACAGCGTTATGTGATTTTATAAAAGTAAACCATAAATTAAAAAAAACGTCTACGACAACAAGTAACATCCGAACTGTATCTTTTTTTATTACCTGAAAATTTGGATAAATAAGAGCCTAATACCATTAAAAAAATAAAATTGCAGTATGGTCCATTTGCAAATTTTATATTTAACAAGTAAGAAAGTCTAAGTTCGGGTGGAGCCGAACATTAAATATTATGTTTTTAGTATTAAATATATGTTTTTTCACCTTTCCGAAAGCTACCGCTAGATGGTAAGCGTAAATTAGCGTCCTTAAATTTCGAAATATTGAAGTTTCAAAAATTTCTGAAATTTACCCTTATATGAAAAGCGGCCGTAATTTTAGTCCGATTTCAATAATTTTCAACGTTTTACTTTTATGTGGCAAGCACAATAAAAATACCGAGCTTGGTACAAA